ATATAGAAACATTGGTCTCCTGAGAACGTTTAATCTCTAAACCACTAAGTCGGGATCTAACGGTGTTATCGTCTAACTTCAACCAATCCACGATATTGCGCGACCATCTTCGATTGTCTTCGGTGGGTAATCACCTCACACCCGACACAGTTGAATTCTAACAGTCAAGCCTTCTCACCAGAATTCCGAAAATCACCTCACGAAGTCAGTCTCTAGTGAACACATGCTAATTAATAGTACAGGGTTGTAGAGTTTGTTTAGTTTCTATTGATATTATAAACCATTTTAAACAAAGAAATCAAACAAGAAATGAATCATTCCCAAAATAATGGTTAATTTTTATCTGTAGTTCCAGAAATGAATCATCCTCAAGTGAAGATGAAGTTGGTGTTTATTTCAGTGGTTTTACATTAGCTTCATTCAACACCGTTTGATCAATTCACTTACCTAATATCAATAAAACTTCACATACTAAAATTCACTGGAAGCAATGAACCAGAGTAAAAAAATGGCTTTTCATCATTAATGTACTCATATATTACTGAAATAAACATATTCATAAGCAACCAGATGATACAATTATTAATAAGAGGTTTGATAATTTTATGATTTTTTAGGATCGGTCTGTAATGAGGGCCTAAGATCAGTTCATGATTTTGTCTATGAAATTTTTAAAAACTTCAAAATCACTCTATACTCATAATGATTATATGCTCACTGCTGACTAGCTTCAAGGTATATTCCGTGGAGTCCTTATAAGAAGTAATGATTAGTTATGGTCGCCAGTGACGGGTGTGAGACAGATATCCACCGAGAGGAGTTGATGGGAATAGCTCAATATCGTGAATTGGTTGGATCCAAACATCACCGCTAAACGGCAGCTCAGTGGTCTAGAGGTTAAGCGTTCGCTCACTAGATAAAAAGTCCTGGGTTCGATTCCTTGATGTAAAGTCGTGGACGAGCACTGCTCAGAAGTTCCACACTATGACGAAACGGCCGATCAGTGCTTCTAGATTTCCAGTGATGGTTTAATTTAGATCAGTTTATGATTTAATCTTTGAAAACTTATCAGATGTATCATTGGTTAAGTGGGAAATTTTAATTATCCAGATGTCATCAATTTTTTAGTGATATGCATCCCCAACAAATTTTTGTAGGTTTTAGTTAAACCATGTTAGGTTATTGTATAATATATCGTTCAATGCATGTTGACTAAACCATATATTAGCAAGCAAACAATTATCACTCGTGAACAGTTGTGTAGTACAATCATTTTGGAATTTTCATTTATTTATAAACTACGGGTTTTACAGATTATCTAAATTATTTTTATTTGTAATTACGTATTTCGTTCACATGTTTGTGATTTGATTGGACACGAACGAACATGATTTAGTTTCTTCTTCTTCTTCTCCATTAATTTAACTAATTATGTGTTAGTTTAATCAACTCAACTTAATGTAAAATGGATGAGGAGTGTACTACTCAACTATACTTACTTTTGACAGAATATGATGAATATGTAATATAAATTGTGCATTCAATGTATGTGTACTTCATGATGAATCATATATTTATCCTTCATTCTGTTTGATAAAAATACTTGAATAATATGAAAATACTAGCAATCATCAAGGTGTATGACTTATTTAAAACTTTATATGATTATTTAGCATTTCATTAATTAGTCAATTAATTGTAAAACATTTCTATGTGTACGTTGTAAAACTCGATTTGATTTTTACTACTTTAATTGTTGTGAGTGATGAAAATGACTATATAGAGTAGATGTAATATTCTATGCCGATAAGTTATCAGTGAGAACAAAGTCAAACGCCGGTGCTCTATGGCTTTTAAAGTTCAGATTTCTTTCATTAAGGAAATTAACTTAATGTTAGCGAGTTCATCAAATAAAATACAAAGATAAAGATGGTGTTAATATTTATATAATGTCTATAATGTATGAAACAGAGACAATATCCATATTTGTGCTTCACTAATTGAATTGAATATATTTTTTAGTCAAAGTCTCTATATTAATTTGTAGATTTACTCTTAGTTTCATCTAGACTCAATGGGTTTTTCTTTGTTTTTTAATATCTCAGGCACCTATCTACTGTGAATTTTATCTCAGTAAATGTTTCTCAGTAAAATGAGAATAATCTCTATTGAAACATGATCTCTCTGTCTCACAGATATTGGTTGAAAGCAACGCAGTTTAGGTAAAATAATTTGAGCAGAAAAGTGCATTGATACGATTGTATACAAATCAGGTGTTCATGTATAAAATTATTCAGTAAAACAGTGAAGTACATTTTGTGCAACAGAGGAAAGATATTCAAGACAATTAATATTGGGGAACGGGGTTTTATGGACGGATAAATTTATAAGCTTCATTTTCTCTATATAACAAGTGTTTTTTAAGCCTGTCATTACATTTATATCAAATATAATTATATTTTGGCCAACTGAATGATAAATCATCTGAAATAAACGATACACTAATTCGACAAGTTTTGAAACCAAACTTAAATGAAGATATTGTTACGTTTTTGTTGTGAACGAGGACAGAGATGGTGACAACTGATTTATTTTATTATAAAATTACAGAGTATCTTGGTAAAATATAAGGACCATACATTGAATACTTCATTTGCTAATTTCCATCATTTGTTGTTCACATTCTGTATGACTCTTCATGTTTGCAATCCTTTTTTACTTTTCCTTCTACTCTCTTTAACTCGATATTCTTAGCCTTCTGCTGCCAGGTTTTCCACTACCAATTGATGTTAGATGCTACTTATGTCTGTCTACATAAATGACATTCATCACACTCGTACCCCCTTTAAAGATCCCCTCTTGCCATTGTTCTGCTCGGTGTGCCACTTTCTTCTTTTCTAAAGCTTGTGGCACGCTCCCTATCAAAATGCTGAGTTTGTAGCGCGCAGACCTACATAGCTCCGTCGACCTATTGTGCCAACAAAATCAAATTTCCACTCGGCACCTGGGACATTCGACACCTACGCTCCAGAGACCTTCTGGGCTATCTGCATCCGATGTCCGCCAATCAGTCTCATATACCACTGTTGCTATCCGTTGACAGCAGCTGCTACAGCCAACGCCTCCCTGTTAAAACACTCCACTCGACGTACCCTTCTCTCACCAGAGTGCTCTAACTAGCCCCTTCTCTACCGGCGCCGCGACAGCGACACCAAATGTTGTGAGCGAGAACACAGGTGGGAGCAAACAATGTATTTTGATACAAAATTATGGAGTATTTTGGTAAAATATAAGAACCATGCACTTTCTATTGTTTATAAGTACTATTTTTAGATTGAATGAATTTTCCATAAAACATCATGTGAGAAATTAAATAAATAAATAATTTGAACAATATACCCTTACACATTACTTTGTTAGCTGTTGAAATCGCTGAATATCTTCAAATATGACTACCAACGTTACAGTATATCATTAAGTACTTACAGGATTGCTACATTAAGATTATTGGCAGATTAGATTTTGTAGTGTCTGTTATTATGTTAAGTACAAATACCTTATTCTAACTTTCGGACAGCCCAGTCTATTCATTCTACTTGAGTCACATTCTAACCTTGTTAATTATTCGCTTATCAATATCTTGACTGTTTTTATATGAGCGCGTAGGCGTGTGTTCACTTCTTATCCTATTCATCACATGTCCGTAACTTATTTTTGTGTGCTTATAAATATTGATTAACGCTTGGTTAAATGGGAGTTGGCTTACCAGCCAGCTCCACTGCGCGTCGTTTTGCTTCTTTCTATTCCATTCGCTTCATATACAAAACATATGTATCCAAAAGTCCATTCTCGTTATTTGACTTATTTAATTCCGCTATTGACCAACGCTATTTAAGTCGATGATTATATACGAGGATAAGGCGCATAAATATTTCCACAACGATCATTCATAAGATCTATTTGGAGTCAGATCATGGTCCACTAAAGTGGAGAGCCCTTCGAAAACATCGTTCGATCTAAATGACAACAAAATAAATGGCCCCACAAAAAGTGGTGAGCCCGTCGCCTCAGACGAACTCAACGGCCCCATAGTTTTCATAATTCATTTAAATGAAGTAAAACTAGTAGAATTTTCTGAAGAATGTTTTCAGGATGCTTGCAGTTTAATTGAATGAGACTGATATTCTAGTATTTCAAACTAGTGATCTTCATAACAATGACATCTGAAGACAAATACTAGTGAGTGAATATAATGAATAACCATAGATGGTACTATAGTTAGAGAAATAAACTATTTTCTTTGACGGACGCGCTATGACAACTTAGTATATTGTTTAAACAATCATAGAGCTATTCATTTTTTGTTGAGCACGCCTTAGTCTTACGAGATACAGTAACCACGAGAGTTTTTTAGCAAATCTAATTTTCCGCATGACTTCTGACCTTTCCTGATCAGTAAATTTCTGTATGCTTGAAGGTTATACTTTTGTTACCATATATACAGAGATGAATCATGTCACGTCGTTCTGCTTTTAATCTTAATATTTTATACATTACGTCCTCTTCATGTGTTAACTGTTAAAGCGTAGGATCGCAGCTATTGTTATCGTGACTGCTATAGAACTGTTCGTATTAAAACAGTCTGATCATTTTTGAACTCAGAAAAGTTGTGGACCAACTGTGAACCACTACACCGTCGCGGCTTTTTAGAAAGATTTAGCATATATATTCGTATCCGAATTAACTTTCTGGTGGTTTATGCTTATGGTTTAAGAAAAAACGCTTATATTCAAACTAGAAATTTATTGTTAAAAAATATAAATACAGCAAAATGATGAAATACATAGAGAACTATTTCAAAAAAGCAACAATTTAATGATGTGAATGTATATGCAAGAAGTGAGGATGTTTATTAATGAATACATTTCAATTAAAATGACCAAAATATATATAAATTTGAAGCAATTACATAAATCAGAGAAAATTCTGGACTTAGTCATTCATAGAATGTATTTACTGATTCCCATGCAAACAAACAGAACAACAATAACATGACGATGAATAGATAATTTTGTCATTCCATTACATCGATCTGTTGAGCAACAATCGACTAAATTCGAAGGATTCAGTTGATCACATTTAGGTCCACAAAATTTACTTGTAACTCCTGAACCATGAGTTGTCTGAAGATGTAAATCAAAATTAAATGATCAAATTAAAACTTTACATAAGTATATAAAACGTTATACACAGCTACCAGTAATAAATCATTGTGTAATTGATTTATTCAATGAGAATAATTTAGTGAAAAATAGAAGAATTTAATTCATTCAATTCAATTGACAGGAAAGACAATGTTATCTGTTTTTTTCTTTATAATCATTATTTTTAAATAACTACTGATTTCTGGTTAACGTGTTTTAGCGAGTTAGTTTTCTATGGGATGAGGTCGCTAACTTCATGCCCAACCCTCCTCCTTTATCCGGGCTTTGGATCAGCAATAACCTCAGAGGGGTTCTAGGCGAATTTCACTACAAATGAATCACTTTGTCGAAAGAATTACTAGTCATTCGTGGAATATCTAAAATGTACATTTTTTCTAATTGTCAGTTTAGAACTCTATGGTGTACAGAATCCCATAACAGGACGAGACGGCCGTTCACTGCTTCCAGGTTTTCCATGGATTCAATTGACATATGAATTCAACTATTAAATTACTAGAATATCCATAAAACCCCTCTATGAAAATAAATAAATATTTGTACATTTTTGAAAACAGTTACAGAAAGAAAATAGATCAGTATTTTACTGGCATTGCTCTAACAATTCGTTCCAGTTAGAAATATACTCATTTACACATTTATAATTTCTACTTATTCAGTTAGAACATTGTAAATTTATGAGCTATAAATATACCATAAATAGACATAATCAGATTTATTAGCAGAAATGGATGACAACTAGTTTATAATGCTTATAATGTTTGTAACTTCAAGCGATATCGAGGTAATCTGCATGGGATGCAAATATGTCAATATAAGACTGATCAATATCAGTTCTAAACATCAATAAGAAGACTCAAACAACCAATACAAAAATGAAATGATCACGTTTAGTTCTCTTTATTTAACAAGAAATATACTACTGATATTGATCAATGATATGCCAGTGGATAAATTTTGATAAATTTGATTTAAAATTAACATAACTCAAAATGAATTGAGTTGCGAATCATTACTTGAACTTACTATGCACCCTCCGTAACCCTCTATAATTATGTAGATAGAAATATTATCACAGTCAAGACAAGTATGACAACTTACTGAATTATCTGTAAAATCAAATTGAAGAAATGTCATCATTTTAGAATTTTTACAATAGATATAATGCAGTAAGCATCCAAAAAAAACCTGAGAATATAAAAACATGATTTTGATGAAGTTTTGTTCTCTGAGCTGTATGGTTTGTTCTTGAAGCTTTCGTCGTTCTTCTGAACGACATCATCAGCACAAACTCCAGGCAGAAGTGAAGTGTTGAAACGCATATGGAGAAATTCGAACACTTAACTTCTATCTGAAGTTTGTGCTGATGATGTCGTTCAGAAGAACGATGAAAGCTCCACGACCAAACCATCCAGCTCAGAGAACAAAACTCTATCAAAAAAGAAGAAAGTATACCCAGAAATAATCAATGTTATGTTTCAAAGTAAGCATGCAATAAAAACATTTTGGACGATACAAAGTTAAAATAAGAAACTAATTGCTACTTATTACCCGCCAATATTTTAGTTTAAACGCTGAATTTTAGGCACATGTTTTTAAAATATAAATTACTGTTAAAAATGATAAATATCAAATCTTTTTATGTGTACATTTGAAATGTCACCACGTGTTTCCCTTTTTTTCAAAATGTACAAATTTTGTTGTGATTTCAGTATTTATAGTCTGTTGTGGTTGTTTCTTTGGTTGATCATGCTTTTTCCACTTCGATATGAACTATAGATGACAACCATTATTTGTTTTCTAAATACATGAATGCATATAATGCAAACATTTGTGAATGGGAAATAATTGAGATCACTTACTAAGGGGATTTGTTTGATTTTCTAAAATAAGTAAATATGGAAAAGGAAGAAACATTTTCTTAAAATAACAGTGTACTAGTCAAATGAATAACAGTACATGTATAAATATTCTTTGAAATAAACTAAGTCATATTATCCAGCATTTATATATATCCAAATATTTGAGGCGTTTTGCCAAATATCGAATTATTTTATGTTTCTAAATTTCTAAACTATAAACGCTACAATTCCGTTTCGAAGCCTTAATGTTGAGTTTTGTTTAGAATCAAGAAAACTGTATCACATCAAACATTCGAAACATGTTTTTAAAGAAAAATTATTCGATATTATCACTGTAGGTAGAAATGTGTGGAAACACTTATTTTTAAAGTGATTGGGAATTGGTGAAGTAAATTAAACTTAATAAGATTTTATAAGCAAAGAGGGATATTGGTTTGCAGTGGAATCCAGGACTCGCGATTCGTCCTATTTGGGAGTCATCAGCTGGATGTACCTGCATCTCAGAGTTGATGTTCACTCTGGGATTCGAACCCAGTACCGTTAGCTTCGAACGCCATCACGTTTTTCTCTCCACATTGATCCACACTAAGAATATTGGCTATCACAGTTAGTCATCAAGGTGCACTATCCATATCCTTAAGTGTAATCAGTATTCAGCATGTTGTTACATCATAGATGGATATCATGTTTGACTTTTCTGTTTAAAACTATAGGTAATTGAATAATTTCATTCGTACAGAGTTTTAAAACCTAAATACAAATCTATATATTTTAACAGTTGGTCTGTTCAATAATCAGTCACTTAAACAAATGGTGAACAGAATAAAATCGTCATTTAGTGGATAATTAAATGCAGTAATTTGCTAGGTATAATAAAAACGGGATCAATAGAAACGAATCATCTCACAAAGATGAAATTCATGTTGATAATATTTATTATCTTCTACTTACTTAGATGATCGCGAATTATGCGATTATTACACAGATCCGAATTGCACACATCCAGATTCTCCCTTGGAAAGTTTGTGGGAATCGTATTGTTACGCAAACATATTCTGTGTACTGAATAATTTACACCGGCAACCTATGATTCAATTACAAAAGTATACTTATTAAAGCGATGTAAATTATCCTACAGATAATTTAATAGGCCTAATGTAACTAAAATAAATACATTAGCCTTTATACATTTTGCACTCACAGTACCGTATAGTATTTCAATTTGATCATTTAATATGCAAGTTGATAAGCAATAACAATGTATTCAAAATACAATCATAAAAACGAAAATAGCTTTGACCATACGATATTCCTAACAAATAAGCAAAGGTCGTAGATCGTTATTCCATTCAATTCAACTATAATCTGAATACAAATACAGTTAATACGTATTTCATGATGAGGTATGGTATTCTAAGGCTTTTAAACGTTTGAGCACTATTGGTATGCAAATCCAGATTTCAGTGAAACTAATCCTATAATACGGAATGAGGAAAAGCACCGAATATGAATAATGACATGTAGCAAACATGGAATTCGAGTTTTTTTGAAACCATGAATTTGAAAGACCATCCGAAAAGTGTAGTCTTTTTAGTTTTGATGACATATTGATTCCACCTGAAATTTTTCAAAGAACTTGTCACTCTCATACTTAAGAGGATTATAGCTAACATATTAATACTACAACCTTGTTACTAATTTGTATAACCTAAAAATGAGTAGACTTGTAGGAGAGTTTAGAGATACGGTTATTGAAAATGTTTTAAATGCTCTATAACCCTGTTCATTGTAAACGAGAAATGGTTTTAAATATCAAACTAAATGTCGAGTCCAACTTGCTTATTGTGTGTATTAAATTAGTACTCTAAATAGTAAATCATGCAAATAAATATGCAAATATAATTATTCAGATATATTTATTTCAAAATTTAACTCACTGCACATGAAGTACAGTTTTCATTTGATATTGACTTATTTGTTACTATGGGGCAGTAATCACACACATGACATTTAATTGACTGAATTTGATCTGTACAAAACAAATTAAGTAGAGATATGTAATATGCAAAATAATTTCATTTCAAAATCAGTAAAATACTCAACAATTTAATAGGTAATATGATTGTCTTAGACATCATTAGGATCAGACAGGATAAAAGCCAACACAAAATTCACATTTCATCATATTCTAACATGTATTTAATTCTAAGACTGATTTTTGTGCTTCACAAATTTCGTAAGATGAAAGCAATGTATTTTGATGTTAAAGAATCGAACTAAATAAGCTGTAGGATGGGTAATGAAAGAATTCATTGATTCATTCATTAATTTAAAACAGAACAGTCTATTGAAACTATTCAAAGTTGATTAGTATGCAAATGAATTTAATGAGATCCATGATTATTGTTTATTCACTTCATCATGTTAGAGGAGAATCTTATGATTGTACGAATATCTGATGTGCTGTTGTTTGATGAGTATCAAACTATTGTGAAGAAGTACTTCAATGAATAAGTGGACAATAAAGGTATTTGTCTATATTCTATCACAATTGAACATTCATATTTAAAATTGTAGGATACGTACTTGTGTAGATCATTTATGAATTGATAAAATGATGAGGAATGTAATTATTAAGTTTGATTCTTATTTTTAATATGTCATTCTTTACTATGAAGTGTTCAATAAAAAATTGTTCGAAATCATTATAAATTTTAGATAGATCTTGATAGATTTTTAAGTATAAATAACTTTCCATCTGTACTGGGCAATCTCTACACATTTTAACTTGACTTTGAATGTTTTATGCTTATTTTCATAATAAGCAAATACTGTTATTAATTATTCGTAATAAACAAAGTAGTATTTATCTTCAAGTAGATTTTTTACAGACTGTAGAGTCGTTAATTAAAGAAATCTTTCATATAACAAAGAAATTATTTAAGTTTCACTGAATTGCCATAAGAAATTTGAGCCATTAGTGAGAACATTTCAACTATGAGAATGAGTTGGTTCATTACCATGTACGTCATTAATTATAAACAATAAATTCAAAAGGCTTCTGGAAAAAGTGTTACATTTTTAGATATGACACTGCTACATGAAAAACAAGAACTATACACATTTATTCAACTGATGACAGTAAACTGTTCTTCACTTAAAATACAGATTTACTGAAACCATTTAAGTAGAGATAATCCATCAAAATTAATTTGTAACAAATTAAGAAGAAATGCCCCATGAGATCACATTATGTATAGTGTTTCTTGAAAATGCATGAATTTTATTGTACATGAGTCCATGTATATTTCCTTGCCAACAGGGTCTAATATATATGCAAGATTACAACTAAATTTTATAATTCCAATTTTTCTCAGATACATGCATTTAGGCTGTAGATTATACTTTCATCTGAAGGAAATTGAGTATGAGCAGAAAATATTTAGGAGTTGAAAGTACTCAAAGTAATACTTCAGGATCATGATGTAGAATCATTTCCTCTTTAAATCATACAAATCGTAAGTTTAAACATTATTAACTTACAGGCAACTCAAATGTATGCTACAAAATATGAGTCGAATTACTTACGTCTATCGAGTATATTGAATAAGAAATATATCGAGATTCCAATATACTTCAAACCTCCACTCATCATTCAGGAAACTTGAGATGCACAAATGTTCGGAATTAGCGTATATATATATATATATATATATATATATATATATATATATATATATATATATATATATATATATATATATATAAATGCATTTAAAATCTTTATACAATTCATCAATAGATATGCACCTTCATAATTTACGCACATGAATTACCCAATTATTAACTAGAATATCAGAAATCAACTATTAAAGTCTGTCTATCAATTACACTTTGATGGGACTTAACTGGAACTATAGAAGTACTGTAGAATGAATCAAGTATTAGATAATATTGTCATAGCATGTCTCACTCGACTAGATGTAAAGGAACATTTGGAAAATGTTTTGAGCAGTGATAAATTTATCGAATTTTTTTCATTAAAAAAAGTAATTAAAATTTGTCACCTTGCGATGTTTGATAGCTTGAATTAAAACAGTGTTTACAAGTCTAAAAAGTATCAAGGAACACTGATGTATATGGATGATTGTTTTATGAATTAAGAATTGGTTTATTGTATATAACTGAAGAGGAGAAATTATTATATCATAATCATCATTTAATTTGATAATGTATGTAAATAAATGTCAACAATCCCATATATTTTCTTTATCATGCTTTATAGAATCTTTCACAAATATGACAATGGGATTAAAGCTCATTAAAACAAATGGATAATGTAGATAGTGGAAATGAAACAGTTTTGCGTCTGCTGACATCGAATAACTTTAAAGTGTATATGCTAATGATATTCGGGTATAAATGTTACAATATCCCTCCTGATTTCTTTCTAGTGGTTTGAATTTTTGGAACCAATCAACTTATTATTGGACTCATTGTTCAAGAATAGCCTACAACAGTGCAGTAATTGAGTTGATTTTCATTGAAGATTACACTTTATTCATAGCATATTAAGTTAATATAACAATTTGTATTCAATGGATTCAAAACTACTACACATTCAAAATCAACATATGTGCAAACCGAGAGTTAATGAAGTACTGTTGATACAATCTTGAATAAAATGTCAATATATTTCTATGTTGACCTACTGTTCTCTCTATAAAAGGTTTTATTCATTCTTCTATTAATCACATTTTTATCCAAATGAAGCCTTTTAGTCAAAAATGAAATGAATGAACAATTTCTCTTACGTTCTTAATAACACAATAATTTTCAGATTACCACTGAACCATTCAGTGTGATACATGACCAGTTAACATTGTGATAGATTCTTTGTTCCCTCCTATTTTCCTACAACTTTGTTGATCAATCAACCCTACTTTTGTGAAGTAACCACATATATGTAGTTAAAGTATGTAAGTAATATAAATGTAGAAATATGTATTTATTGTTCGTTAGCTTGACATATAAATTTATTTGATTTGTGTTCTCTAAATATATACTACTTAAAGGAAATATTACTATTCAGGAAATTTCAGTAGTTGAAATCATGAGTAAATTGAAACTAGACCATCATGGAAACACCTGGAAGCACTAGACGGCCGTTTCGTCCTATTGTGGGACTCCTCAGCAGTGCCCATCCATGGTCCCGCCTTACGAGATTCGAACCCATGATCTGTCAGTCGCGCGCGCTTAAGCTCTAGACCACTGATCTGGCCGGTATCCAACGGTGTTAATGTTTATCTTCAACTAATCCATGAAATTGAGCGACACCACCATTGTCTTCAGTGAGTTACTATCTCACAACAACATGTTTAGTATTGTTTTTATACAATTTTTTGAAAAAATATACTTAAACACCAAATTGTTTGTCGTTGATTTCTGTCAATTTTTATGCAGGAATATACTATGAAAAACAATAGCTGTTATTACTTGAACACTGATATTGTGTAGTATAGTATTTTTCATTGCTATTATTATAAAATCTTGTTGGACAGTATTTCGTTATCTAATGCAAGCATTATCATAATTTTCATTTCCATAAGTATAAAAACAAATCAAGTACAACTAACACTGTTCAACTACAAAATAAATTATCATTTTGTATCATCATTTCAGTCATTGTATGAATGAATAGCTAATTGTTAATGTTTACAAAAATATTGTTGGTTATATTTTTTGTTTATGGAAGAAAAAACAGTAAAATCAGGTTTTGATATTATCAAAAGCAAAGGGGGTAAACTTATTAAATGTGCATTGTATCATATTGATCACAAAGTAATTTATAATACAAAGATCGGATAGTTTCAGAAAGACGCTAATGAGACTAGATTTTGTCAACCATTCTGAATATCACTTTTTTTAGCTTTAAGTTATGGAAGCTATAGTTAGGATAGATTATTGATTGAGTGATATAAACTTTCTGGAAGTTTCCAAACAACTTACATGTAGCATTCTATATTCAATATTTTGTCTCTATTTTTGACGCAAATAATTCCCACACTGATTAGTTTATCATATTTCATCTTACAAAAATATTCATATTGAGATAATTATTCATCTTTCCAACAATTTTGTTAGATGTCAACCGTATCTGAGTACATTTAAATCATTGAATAAAGAAAGAACAAGACTAGTAGAACAATATGAATTCATTGATATCCCATAATAGATATAGTAAATTGACTTCTTATATACTATAGTGAAGATCGTATAACTGTTATTATAAACGGTTTATAACGATATACCAACCATCATCTCTTAACATATATTCAACTACGATGGTGGTTGGAGGTAGTCGATAGGAAACTCTGGACCTAGGTTTCGTGCTACTTGGCAAGGTGTACTTGTAATCTTATAGGAACTGATGCCTCCTGACAGATTCAATCCCGTGTCACCCAGCTTCACAGTCAGAGACGTTACTACTGAGCTATCCGGGCCGTGTGTGGTGATTAGGTCCTTCTTAATGCAGATCAAATCTTATTATATATTCAATTACAAATTAGTTTTCTTTAAATTTACCTCAGCTAACTGTTATGGTTTAAAACAAGTAGATTTACGTTCAAAATAGAAATTTATTACAAATAGTACGATAAATGTAGTACATAGTGAACTATTTCAAAAAAGCAACAATTTAATGATGTGAATGTATATGCAAGAAGTTAGGATGTTTATTAATGAATACATTTCAATCAAAATGACCAAAATATATATAAATTTGAAGCAATTACATGAATCAGAGTAAATTATGGGCTTAGTCATTCATAGAATGTATTTACTGATTCCCATGCAAACAAACAGAACAACAATAACATGACGATGAATAGATAATTTTGTCATTCCATTACATCGATCTGTTGAGCAACAATCGACTAAATTCGAAGGATTCAGTTGAGTACATGCAGGTCCACAAAATTTACTAGTAACTCCTGAACCATGAGTTGTCTGAAGATGTAAATCAAAGCCAAATATTTAGTCAAAATAAATCATCAAGCTGAAGATATGTTTAATTTAAGTAGGCGAAACTGTTATATCCGAGCAAAGATTAAATCACGAGTAATTTCTGAGACATTAATTGAATAATATTATCTATATATTCTTACGGTATAACTATTCATTAGTTAGGTTATGTATATTTATATTCCCCTTATCATAAGCTTCACTTTGACCTATAATTTATCACTGTACGATTTACTGTCCCTAAATTATGCTCAGTTTATTAATCACTGTCTCCCACATTCACAGCCACTTTTTGGCCTATTTGTGTACACATGTTAGTTTCTATTTTATGGTACGTTGTGGTCTGCCTGATTGATATATAAACCGAGTATGTCTGAAATAAATGATTGGGTTCGATTTGGTTGATTCGGAAGCTGGTATTGTGTTCTGGACTCAACTGGCTGGGCTAGACAGGGAAGCAGGGCCAATCAGAACTCTAGGCTGCTCGCTCGTATTTGATGCGTCACTGTATCGATCGATAATACGCTGCTCTCTAATAGGTGGATCACACGTTCATAACAGAAACACCATACATGCCACTTGAAATCTAGTAGTGGCATCTAGAATATGCGTTTCTCTCTATTTAGGACTTGTCAGGTGGATATTCACCTCAGGACTCGGACCTAGTACCGTTCATTTCTAGTGTTACTGAGTTATACACTTCGCTACTGTGTCCGGATGGCTTTTGGCCTATACAATGGGATGAAGTTTAATTCCACAATACAAGTGAAGTAAATGATTTGTACTAATTTATTTGATGGACATAAATGAGTGACAGATTTATTTTAGGACATCTTAAAATGTTCTAAATCAGTGTAAAGTTTAGCAGTTGTAAAATTCCTTTTATTTTGTTGATCTGAACTTGAGTTTGACTGCCTAACTTCAATGACTATATAGGTGGTTTCATATAAGTCAATATAATGATTTACCAACTATCGGTTTGGTTAAATGTGACGAACATTGTCGACGCACAACATAATTTAACTCATGATCATTTCTGATTACAGAAATCTAATATAGAATATTTTATAGGAAGTGAGGATTTGTGATGGTGATCACAAGTTATCGACTAGCTGTATTAAAGATGTTATTTATACTGCTTGCAATGCTCACTTTTCGTCAACGAGTAAAATACGCAATCTAGCATTACAATCTTCCTATTACATCATCATTTTTATTCTTTGTTCATATGTCCTCACGGAACTAACACTTCCACAAAAAAATTTCATATATATATATATATATATATATATATATATATATATATATATATGATTGTACAGCGTGATAATAAATACAAATTGACACTTTAGTTTTGCTTTGAATACAAATAACCAAGATTGGTAATACTGCTTGATACCGATCAAATTATTATGTCTTATTCAAACTGTTTATCACAATCAACTAGGAAAATTCGTTCAGTTTATTATGCACCAAATAAATGGAAATATACTAAATTTCACACAGGTTTCACTGTGAAATAATTATTACGTCACAAGGTCTTTGATATATAATACATTGTCTCTTTTATAATGCCACTGATTAAGTAAATGTAACTACTTCCTTAGTCACCCATTGAACAGTTGATATCGTATTTAGTATAAAAAAAATCAAAAACTTAAATTTCTGTCTTAGTTGTAAGTTTTGTCATATATAGAATTACTAAATTTGTTTGGTTAAATGCTTTACAAAAAATAATTATTTTTAGAGTAGATACCGTCAAATTATATTTAAAAACCATTTTAATATTGCTTTCAATTTTAATTGACTACATTTATAGAATTCCATTTAAACGAACTACCAGATACATTCTAATACTCAACTGTTGAATTTAAACTTGTTGAATGCAGTGTCTTTCAATAACTTGACGCGGAAATTCTTCATCAAATTTTACTTTTACTTGTCATTATGAAATATACTACACTGGTTCTTTTAACTTACCACACATCCACCACAACCGCTAACAAGCTTTCGGTTACTATTTGTACAGTTCAAACAAGTATAGCAAGTGATTGGATTTGCTGTGAATTGAATTAGAGAAATCAACATGATATAATGACAATATAATAAAAATGAATTAAAACGGTTTATATACATGTCATCGGAAAATTTATATAAATATTGTCGGATATTTATATTCGACTTGAAATGACTGTATAAAATGCAAAGAAAATTACTAGTTGTCCTGTAAAACGATTTTCATTTACCATTTGTATGGAATGAAGTCATGAGATTAAACGTAAGCACCTAGAGTTGACATAATCAAAATACTGTGTTAAAATAATACACATTTACTATACAAGATCTATGTTAATAAAGAAACGATTGAAATAACCCTAGTTGATTATAAACAGAGTGAAAATTCACAATTCAGATTACACATCTATTTTTATGTTGCTGTTAAATGATTTCAATGATGTTCATTCATGGTGGTTCACAGTTATCACATCAAAATGTATCAAATATGAAATACTAGTATTGCATCATTTATTTTTCAGTGTGTTCATTTCGCCACAACTTAAGTGTTCTTAATAGATTGTAAAATCACGAACAGTTTAATTTTTTAATAATCATGATAGTATATAAAACTTAAAAAAAACAAATGACTTACCTATAGGCCCTGTTGGAGGTTCTAAAATCAATTTTAAAATTAAGAAAATGTTAGAACAATAACATTTTAATGAAATAATAAACTAAAAAAAACTGTACTTCACAACCTTTTGACTGAAGACAGAACTACATGTGATTGATATTTAACGTTATTACATTCGATTATTTCAATCTACTAACCATAACCGAATATTTTTCGATAAAATTTTAGGTGATAAATATCTTATAAGTTCATATGTTTGCAGACCAATTAACACACAGGCGTTACGACTATTCCAGAGAAAGTTAAATACGAAGTCTATTTAGATCACAATAATTTTAATGTGTAAAGATATCGAAATCAAGTAATTTGTTTCTGCTTAAAAATCTACAACTTGGATAAGAATGTGTTAAAAAATAATCCTTTCCAAGTACATGATGGTTGAACAAAATCCCAAACTATATAATCTAAGTCAATGAAATAGATTGAATAATCTCAACATGAATATCTAAAGCTGTGAATACAACAAATATTTAATATGATATTACTTGAATAGTGGATACAATGAAAAAGGATGAATAACAACTGGAGAGAGCTGGAAAGGATTGCCCAGGACAGGGTTTGATTGAGAATGTTGGTGAGCGGCCTATGCTACTTCACGAGGAGTAATAGGTGTAAGTAAGTAAGTGGATACAGTACCTGAGTTTAACTTTTTCCAAATCAATTTAATGAATCAGTAATTATGGTATATTTCATATGACCTGCAAATATGCGATTAACCACATTATCAATTTGGTTTTCAATCATACAGTAGTGAAAAATATTTTTTACAAAAGTTTAAGATGTTTTTTAAAGATTTAAAGGTAAATGTGCAAAGATTCTTTAAATATTATTATGGACTAAGCTTCTGTAAGTTCTGTTTAATAACTATCATAAAAACCGACACACGAATATGTGAACATAATGTTTTGATATTCAAACAAATATTAAGCAACTTTCGAAGATTCGAGAAGGGCATTTTGATATAACAGCGATGCTACCTTCCCAAAAAGAGGGGTGGGTTAGAATAGGTCGACCCTAAAAATGGACACCTCGCGTTATCCCATGGATATCCGTCTCCGGCGGTAAGGTCTCAACAAGTACGGAGCTAACACAAAAACTACTCATAAAAAGGTCGTGTGTGACCGACCTCAAGCAGCTGTCCCTTGGGCACTGCGGTCACGCTCTCAGGTCACTATGACCGCCTCTAATACAATTTCCTTTTCAGGTACTTCCAGAAGAACCCTTCCACGGTATGGGCAACCGGGAAGTGATAACCGCCCTCATACCTCTAACAGCACTTAAGACCACTGTATTCATAATCAACCTATTATTCCTCTTACATCGACTTTCAAATCTAAACTTCCGCCTTTGGTTTCCTCCTCAAGTGTCACCACAGCCAACGATCCTAGTGCGCAAAACACTATCCCAGGTCTACTGAAACCTCACTCCAAACTACACATTGGAGCCTTCGACGTACACACACTATGTCAAATCGGTCAGCAGGCCTCCTTGGCTAAAACCCTAGAATCTCGTACCATTGATGTATGCTGTGTCTCCAAAACACGCATACAGGATCCTAGTGTGGTCATTCACTTGACCTCATCTCGGCAAAACGGAGTGCCGACGAGATACACCCTTCATGTATCTGGCGACCCGATGGCTAGTTCTCGTGGACTGGCATAGCACTAAGCATGAGGGCGGAACAAGCGCTATTAGAGTGGATCCCCGTTAATAGTCGTCTATGCGCTGTTCGGCTAAACGGCTCCGTAAGAACTCGAAAGGATAGGGACACACGTCGTTGCCTTTTTGTCGTTTCTGACTACGCTCCCACTGACTGCAGATCGGATGAAGTGAAAGATGAATTTTACAGAAAACTCTCTGAACTTCTTCAGAACGCTAAACGTTCAGACATAGTACTCGTAGCAGGTGACTTTAATGCTCAGGTAGGTAGCTTAAACGAAACACAAAGACATTTAGGTGTGTACTTTAGTATTTCGACACAGAGAACAGATAATGGTGATCGTCTGCTGCAACTGTGCTCAGAAAACCGTTTATTTTTAGCAAACACAAACTTTAATCATAAGGAGAGACACCGTCTAACATGGCGACCCTCTGCACCAAACCAACGATGGACTCAAATAGACCATATTGCCATCAGTCATCGTTGGAGAGGGTTGATAGAGAATTGTCGCTCATTCTGCAGTACCTGTTTGGACTCCGACCACGCATCTGCTTGCGCCTCACTGTACGCAAAAAAAACACTAAGAAAACCCATTAGAATTTAATTGAGTGATGAGAAATCCGAAAGTAGATTCCTGGAACAGCTGAGGTCACACTTAGCTAGTTCTGAAAACGAAGCTGACCCAGATGTTGCTTGGAAAGATATACAAACAGCTGTGGAAACAGCACTGACATCTGTTAGTGATTCAAGCCAACTGGTTACAAAGAACCAATGGATTTTTTCAAAGTCTATTGCACTGATGGATTCTCGCAAACTCATCCCATCAGGCTCTGAACACGATGAAGAGCGTAAACAAATCAGATCTAGGTTAAGCAAAAGTCTAAGGAACGACCGTGAGCAGTGGTGGGCAACGAAAGCAAAAGAAATGGAAAAGGCGGTGGCTATAGGGAACACAAGACAGCTCTACAGACTAATCAAAGAGACTGGCATCAGAGGCCTTTAAGGATGGTGGACTAGTTTTAGCGATTAGGTTGACTAATATTTTAGCTAAAATCTGGGAGTTGGACGTAATCCCATCTAACTGGTCACAATCACTTATCGTTCCAATATTTAAGAAAGGGTCAAAATCATCCTGTGACAACCACAGAGGGATTAGTTTGACTAATATAGTATCTAAAATACTAGCCTCAATAATTATCGGATGCTTAACTAAGACTCGTGAACTGCAAACACGTGAAAATCAAGCTGGTTTCAGAAGTGGTTGTGGTTGCATCGACCACATATTCACCATTCGTCAGGTTCTAGAACACAGGCATACTTATCGGCGTCCGACAATGGTGGTCTTCCTTGATTTAAAAGCAGCATTTGACTCTGTTGACCGAGAGGTTCTGTGGCAGTGTCTGTCATTGAAAGGCGTACCTCAGAAGTACATAAACCTTGTGAAGACTCTTTACTCGAATACTACTAGTCGAGTCAGAGCTTATGAAGAACTGTCATTTGCTTTTGCAACCTCAAGTGGTATCCGTCAAGGCTGTCCACTTTCTCCATTTTTGTTTAACTTCACCAATGATTTACTGATGGCAACAACGTTCTCATTGACTGAATTTTCGGGTATCGATCTCTTCCCAGGAGGTCCACTTATCGACTTAGAATACGCAGGTGATATAGTCCTGTTTAGTGAAGACGCTGATGAAGTGTAGAGTCTTTTGGTAGCACTGAGCAACAATGCCAGGATGTTTGGGATGCGCTTTTCCCCCTCTAAATGCAAGTTGTTGCTTCAGGACTGGACTGCGTCAACACCTGAACTAAGAATAGGGAGTGAAGTAGTCGAACGCGTTGACAACTTCACTTATCTTGGAAGTCTGATCAGCCCTGATGGGTTGGTGTCTGACGAAATCTCAGCACGGATTCGAAAAGCTCGTTTGGCCTTTGCCAACTTACGTCATCTATGGCGAAGGCGAGATATTCGTCTATCAATTAAGAGACGAGTATACTGCGCGACAGTTCGTTCCGTTCTATTATACGGCTGCGAAACATGGCCTCTAAGAGTAGAAGATACTCATAAGCTACTAGTACTCGATCACAGATGTCTCGGAAATATTGCTCGCATCTGCTGGGATCACCGGGTAAGTATTAGTAAGGTTAGATGCAGTGTATTAGGGAATGATGGTAAATCAGTTGATCAGGTTGTGATTCTTCATCGACTGAGATTGTTGGGTCACGTGTTACGTATGCCTGAACACAGATTACCACGACGTGCAATGCTCACTGGTGTTAGGGATGATTGGAAGAAAGTTAGGGGCGACCAAACAAAAACGTGGCACCAGTGCTTGAAGTCACTAACTTCTGGTCTGAGCCATATTGGCAGATGCAGACTACTTGGTTGGGGTCCACGTGACTATCGTAACCAATCGTTGGAGACTCTTGGTGACATGGCTCAGAATCGATCACAATGGTGTCGGTGTATACACTCTCTGTCTTCCTTTAAACTAAGAGAATAAAATCGCTTCATATCTTTCTTTCTACTAACTAATTCTTTCTTCCTGTACTATCTCCTTATATGCAATCTTTCTTCTATATATTACCATTGAATCAACTACTTCTATGAATCCGGTGTTCATCTTGTTGTGCTAATGAGGTATGGCAACTTGGATCGATGCATATATGTGCCTGGTCCTACGTTTTGGATGACTGTCTGACTGACAACGTTATAAATATGACGTTTGAGCTTCTAAAACGTTTAAATGCTATGAGTATATCATCTACTAAATTACAATGGAACGTTGAGGTTTTACGTTTCCAGAGGTAGCTTGAGAAATTCCATGATAAGATTTAAACACACCTGATCAGTCAAATATTTAATGTCGTTGGAACTATGAATCAATTTAAGTTAGATCGCCATTGAAATCCTGGAAGCACTGAACGGTCGTTTGGTCCTAACGTGAGACTATTCAACAGTGAGCATCTACGATCCCGTATGTGGGAATCAAAACTAGCAACTTCGAACTCGTGCGCGAACTCTTAGCCTTTAGGTCACTGAGTCGGAGCCCAACGGGTAATAGTTAGTGCGTGAGACCACAAATGATGGTTTCGATTACCACGTGAGGAGTCGTGGATTCCTACTGTTGTATCTCATATTAAAAAGAAACGTTCATTCAGTCATTCTAGGTTTTTACCGTTGGTCTAACTTAGAACAGTTTATGATTTCAATGAAATTCAACAATCACGACCCTTTATTGAAACTTAACGTCATGTCTGTTGACGTTTTTTGATTATCTCTAAAATTTACACTTGTCACATACTTTCATATATTTGAAACGCTTAAAGTATACCTGTGACTGGTCTTTAAACATTTATTACATTTATCTTATATATATGGATACGAATAACGTATTCGGCAACCAATTTTCATGATCGAAAATCTTTTTGATGTGTACGGGTGTGCTGTAATTCAAGAGAGAAGTATTAAACAGAAGTTATTTCAAGTGTTCATAAATGGGAGCTAAATATCTTCAGGCACAATACAGATCTTGTATTTATAGATAAATTCATAGACGTCCTGCTTGTAATTTGACATTTTATTGTTTATCACAATCAAAACTTTCTGTTATAGTAAATGTATGAAACAATGAACAATTGAGGAAGTATGTCGTTTTAAAATGAATTATACAATAGTATTTATAACTTGTCTATTTTATTCCGGATTCTAATATTCTCATTGACTCAAAAATTCGAATAACCTCCAGCGATTCAATCTGTCAATTACGAATAAATTAAATAAACATTCTATGGCTGTCTTTAGATAATAAAAGCAGTTGATAAACCAAATGGTGACGATTGATGAACTTCCTCTTTTTATTGCATTACTTAGATTAGCGTGAATTAATATACAGTTTAAAACTGTATCTGTTTAAGCTTTTCTATCTGTTTACATTTTGTATAATAAGTTAGTATATATATTTTCGTGTTTTAAAATAGTTGGTGTTTTTTCATAGTGAACATAAGGATATTATTCTTTTATCACTTACTTGCAGTGTTATCAACCGTTTCCCCGTTACACAATTCAGTGAGACACTGCTTCCGATTTTCTTCTGGGAAGTTAATGGGTACAGTACCAAACACACATGTTCTGTGAATTGAAAAATTATTACCGGCCATCTGAAAGTTAATGAAAAAAGAACATAAATTAAGACGGATCAAAACAACTGACCAACAAAATCGAAGAATTAACGTACGATATAATTATTAAATAAATGTATTTCCTATGTTTGTTAGGAACATCAATTTATCTAATTATCGTTTCGACTGTAAGAAGAGCAATAACTATGATAACAATACATTATAGTAAGTCTACACAAAAAATAACTACAAACTGTCATTTCATTCGACATGTAAATATTAGTTTATTAAAAATCCATGTAATTTATTAAATATAGAAATATGTGTTTATTAAATGGCTTGGCTTACCACGCAAGATGTACAATTGTTTAAGTCTGTTATTGATTCACTCGTTACTATCGGACAAAAGTCACAGTCGTAACAACGCACCGATTGACATTGGTCTGTTAAATGTAAACAACCATTGGAAATTCAATAATTTAGAGTAAATTGATGAGATCTTTTTTTTAAAAAATTCATAATGTATTTCATTCATTTTTAATAACTTTGTATTAAAACAATAAAAAGGTTACCATCAAAATTTTTAACCAAGATATTTCATAAATTGAAGCAATCATCTCTTCTAATACGTTGTCAATAATTTCCATGGAAATTTATATTTTATTGTTGACATTATTTTTCCTTTTTGTGATCGGTAAGATTTTTGTCTTTTTTGTTTTGTTTTCAATATGAAGCAAAATCAAACTATCTAATGATTAAGAATAAAACTTTCACATCTACAAGTATTTCTTGTTCATCATTCGTTTTTCTTTGAATTAATTAATATTTAATCACAATACATTAAACTTCCATGGAACTCAATCAGTCCAAGTTTTTCTAGACTGTTCACTAGAAAATTATTAAATAAAATTTTACTATATGTGTTCGCCTATTTATTTAAAAAAATTTGAGGCGATAATATTCGTCATCTTGTAGACCACAGGTTATTTGATTAATACATACATGTTCACTTTATCCAGTTCAAACTCTGATAATAATAAAGCAGAAGCATACATTCGACAGCATACTGATTTTTTCGATCTTTTGTACAAACTAATTTACAAATGAAAAAGTCATCCATTTCCGCTCCTTCAGACACAAATCATGCAACATGAATCGGTGTTTAGTGACTTTAAAAACCGATATAAATAATTATAAATAAACAATTAGTTTATAAATGTCACATTGTATTCAAACCTGGTATTTAAGTGTTATATTTTACGAATATATTGACCATAAACTTAGTTTATCATTGAAAAGTGTATACAAAAACCATACTAGACTTTCTAATGGCATTAACTCAAATATTCCTGGCCGAACTAGAGCTTACCACTAACCATCACTTGAATGGATAACTTTAATTAATTAGCATCATAAATGGCCATTATTCCCACTATCACTGAATTTATTTAGTAATCAGCACAATGTAATGACACTTTTGTCACCTAACTTTTCACAAACTGATTTTCTATTAAGAGAATGAATTATCGACATAGAGTTTACAAATGACGAAAATCCATTTTGATGAAAGCGTAAACAATATTCATTTTTCAGAATGCACTAGGTATTAATGTAAACTATTTGAAGTAAATCCCTCTATCTTTAAATATGAAATCTTGCCTCAGGACTGGGCTACATTATCACCGAGATAGATCATATGAAATTAATTAGTTGAGGTCGGCTATTTCATTTATTTCGAAAATCTCGTCAACTCTGATAGATTGGAGGCTGACGATATACATGGATGGATTCAGAAAGCTCTCTTAGCTTTTTTCCAACAACTGTGGTGCAGGCAAGATTTACCTCTTTCAACAAAAGTCTATGGTCATACGTGCGCTACAACTATATATATATATATATATAGTAAACAATGGATTGAACAGTATGAAGTAGAGTTCTAGATAAAGCCACCAAATCAGTTTTAGAAAGCCATAAAACTTCATCGCCTGAGGTGATAAGGAGATGTATCAGGGACGTCAAACTATCACCTACTGCGACATGGAAAGCGGGCTAATGTAAGACCACGTTAGTAGAAAATAAGACTGGCAAATCAAGTGGTATCAATATTCGAAGTAATTCGGCATTGATCTGAGTCATGTTGATGGGTGAAGACCAAGTATCTGAGGTTTCGCTTCTACCAACGACTTAAGATCCTAAGTGACATGCCTCGAAACCGGCGGTATTAGGGTAAATGAATTCGTTATTTATCTTTCTCTATACTTTGATCTTCAGGATTACTTTATATTATTTACACCATATTTCCCTTTCGTCTTTCAAAACACTATCTGTTTTCTACTTATACTGAAAATGATATTGTTTCAGACCAAATGATCTTCACCACGTTCTTTCTAAATCACTGTGTTAGCATTTCATGGTAATGTGGAGCCATGTGCATTATTGCTAAATTCTGAGTTGATCATGATTGACTGTTTATTGTTATTCTTTTTAGTTGATAGATACAAACTTCAAATGTCAAACAGTATAAATATTTGGGTGATTTGTCCTTCCAAAGCTACATAAACTCTAGTCTTTACTTATCAAACAAACAACCCATTAAATATAGATAAGAAAAAGGCATCTATTCTGCCGGATCGAAATAAAATACTAACTGAAAAAAATTGGGTTGCACCTTCTTCAGTTGGAATCCATATGATTGGAATGTAACACAAAGCTTAACATAGAACATTCCCATCCCAAAATCAAAATGAATTACTTACGTTTACTCAGAATATTCACCACAATGTACAAAAAGATTCCAAAATATTGCAAGCCACTTTTCATTCTCTAACCACTTTAAAATACCTGAAGATATATGCTTATAAAATCCCGAGAAATAAGGTTAGTTACACAAGCATGGAAATAAATTTATCCATGTGAAAAACGTCAATGGTCCTATGATAGACATGTCGTATCTGGACTACAAATAATAACCAATCAAAAGCCAGGAAATTGCTATTCAATTAGTGTGTTCGTTAATCATAAACTTGTCTGTCTCAATTCCATTGGACCATTTATAAAAACTAACCTTATAATGTATAGTGTTAATTTTAAGCTGGTTCGTCTGTCCGTTTTTTAGGTAATTCGAATGTAATGAAACGAAAGCTTTTCTTACGTTCATTGTTGGTACTTTTTATGGAAATTCGTAAAGCACGGATCACAAGACCTGGAAGACAAAGGTTATCAAAAATATGTGATGTATTTGCTCAATACGGCTTAAGAATGGGATGAGTGAATCACAGAACGAGCAAATAAACGTTTACAATTTAGATGATTCCTGCATTATATCGCATTAGAATTGTTTACAGTTGTTGCAGTTTTGAACAAAAGAGTTTGACACCATTCAAATAAATGAATATTTTACGTAGTCCAAATAACAAACTGTGAGGTCCGCTGACGTCACTTAGATAAAAGTTTTGTTTCATTAGAGCATCAAAGTTGTTATGTCTCATCAAAATTTACTATTGACAGCTCAATTCTTTAGAGGCAATCAATAATCTAATGGAATGATTATTCAGACTGGATATTTCATAGTCTCCTAAACAACTTGATTTGTATCAAAACTAAGTTTTAATCTGTATTATTTTTATTCCTTTAACACAAATAGAATGGAAATGTACAGAAATCAACAGTTAATGGAGTAGAGTGGATACAATCTTGAATAAAATGTCAATATATTTCTATGTTGACCTATTATTCTCTCTATAAAACGTTTTATTCATTCTTCTATTAATCACATTTTTATCCAAATGAAGCCTTTTAGTCAAAAATGAAATGAATGAACAATTTCTCTTACGTTCTTAATAACACAATAATTTTCAGATTACCACTGAACCATTCAGTGTGATACATGACCAGTTAACATTGTGATAGATTCTTTGTTCCCTCCTATTTTCCTACAACTTTGTTGATCGATCAACCCTACTTTTGTGAAGTAACCGCATATATTTAGCTAAACTATGCAAGTAATGTAGATGACCTATTCAGAGAATCGTATATTTATCCTTTGTTAGCTTGATAGATCAATTTATCTGATTAATTTCCTTTATATATATTCACTACTAAGAAGAAAGAATTCCACTCAAAGGGCCTTTCTTATTATTATATTACTACGCAAATATATAACAAAACAAAACATCATCTTGTGTCACCATTTCTGTCACTATATCAATGAATTATTAACAATGTATATAGTAGAACAACTTATGTAGAACCAATGAAATTAGATATTCCTATAATTTCTTGTTCTGAGATATACATTTACTGAAAGGCCATATTAATTATTTTAAATAATTATTTCTTTCACTGGTTAAAATCATGAGTCATTTGAAGCTAGACCATTATGGAGAACATGGAAGCACTGGACGGCCGTTTCGTCCTAGTATGGCACTCCTCAGGACGAAACGGCCGTCCAGTACTTCCAGGTTTCCCATGGTGGTCTAGCTTCAAATGACTCATGATTTCGATCAGTGAAATTTCTAAAATCTCCACAAAACCCCTTCTGATAATTATTTGTTTATCACATGGTTTAACTAAAGCACCATATTTTTTCACTTTGCTATGCAAATGCGATGTTTGTCTGTCTCAGATTAATAATCAGAACGCTTTGCAATAGGCTGATATGTATGCATATGACTACTACTACGATATAAAACACTCAAATTTAATGGTTTGTTTGAGGTATTCTGTTTTTTTTCGGTTCATTTTTGTTTGATTATTTAACTGGTATCAATTTGTTAGTGAACCTATTGATTTTGGGTTATATACGTATGAACATATAAATGTTGTTTCAATAAACTTCTTTATATATATATATATATATATATATATATATATATATATATATATATATATATATATTGAAATTGATTCCGAGCACAGTCAAGCTACTATTAAGGATAAGCGAATGAAAAGTGTAGTTAAATAAAACTTTCTTTAATTCCCTATTTATTTGATCTGATCGCATCTATTATTATAGAACATAAATGAATTAGTTTGTTGCACACGAATTGAGTGTGTATTTTCTAGTTGAAAAGTTTTATTTATCTGTTTTAACTATTTTCAGATAAGATCACTGACCGATATTGAAAACTGAATGATGGTGAAAAGAGGTAAGACAGAGTTTTCACATATTTATTTAGTGTGATTCTTTACTCGTCATTAGTAATAGAATTAATAATTTCGATTGTCTTTGACGAACACTGCTGACTAACTTTCAACTACCATAAAATTGCATAACAGTTCTCTATCCTTTATTATTTTCAATCTCTTTCCAGTGTGAAAATTAACTTGATGTTAATGGGTTCGTAAAATATGATACAAAGATAAAACTGGCATAAATGTTGAAATAATGCTCCTATTATATGAAAGGGAAAGTTCATTCAGATTTATTCTTAATAAAATGAATTGAATATTTTTCTAGTTAATGTCTCTATATTAATTTTCACCTATCCTCAGTAGTTTTTCTTTTTTTCCAATATAGAAGCCACTAATCCATCGCAAAGATTTGTTCAATCAATATGTTTCGCAGACAAATGAAAATATTTCCGAAACAAAATTAATCTCTTTGTTTTATAGACATTAGGAAATGTATCATTTCGTTATATCAAAATCCAGACTTTGACCAGAAGCAACGTAATATTGATCAAATTATTCGTAGAGCATATACGCTATTTGTTCTGTTCATTAATAATGATTGTAAACAAACCACGCGATTGTGAGTAACTATCATTCACCGACATAATGAAGAAAATGTTATGTAACGACCAGTACCTATTTAGCGAAAAAAAGTCGTTTGTTAGAACAATAAAACTGATTTGATTTTTTGTAACACAAGCATTTATTTATACAACATGACATGAGTGGAAATTTTAAATTTTTGGTTAATAACAATATATTCTCATTGTTTGATGAGTATCAAACTATTGTGACGAAGTACTTCAATGAATAAGTGGACAATAAAGGTATTTGTCTATATTCTATCACAATTGAACATTCATATTTAAGATTGTAGGATACGTACTTGTGTAGATCATTTATGAATTGATAAAATGATGAGGAATGTAATTATTAAGTTTGATTCTCATTTTTAATATGTCATTCTTTACTATGAAGTGTTCACTAAAATTTGTTCAGAATTAATATGAATTTTAAAATTATTTAATAGGTATTAAATTAAAATGAACTATTACATATAAAGGATGATTGCTATCAACTTGAATGAAATATGCATACACAAGATCACTCAGTTGAAAGTGCTCAGTGAAGAGCTTGAATGACGTTATACTATGTCATTTCCTTTACGAAATATTGCTGGTTATATTTTAAGGAATATAAATTTTATGATAAAGCAAAATGTCTGCTTCAGAATGTGAATTGAATTATTACGGCGTTTTAGTTTATCTAATAAACATTACATCAAGGTTCCTAAATATTGAAAACCTCTACTCATTATTATACAGCTAAATAGGTTGTAGTAACACTCCTACTGTTAGTTTCGATTATGTTTGATTTTTGTCAAGCTTTTTTATTAACTTATTTTATAGACATCAACGATTCGTCTATTTCTTTGTATTACTATGATCACCATCATATTAGTATAAACGTTCATTCTGGATCACATGACAGCCTACGCACATATCTCTTTAGCTTAAATGAAGATAGCTTAATTATCGCTTGATGAGTCATTCTCATTCATATATATATGTGGTCAAATCCTATTAATAACCTGCTCCGTGTGTGTATGTAACTTTTTGATCTGTGCTATTCGTTAATAAACTGTAGTCACAGCATCTTAGTACCTTCTGAGTTCAAACAACACTGGAGATTTATATGATAATGGTTATCAAGTTGATCGATTGACGAAGCTAAGTGACTACAATGAAAATCTTCGAAATTTACTACTATTAATAATGAAAGAAATATATATTTAGATATTTAAATAATAATAATAAATACAAACCAAAAATATTTGCTATTCGTCTATAGATATATAACTTCATGATCTGCACACAAGATTGTTCAACTTTTTTAATCTGATCAAGAACTGCAGATAATAAATCTTAGAAGATTTATGATGAGCATAAACGAAATATAAAATAACTATTCAACGTGCCTATACGAACATTATTGTTCATTATTTTTTAAAAAAAAAAAATTACTCGCTTAATTTCAAATCATTTTTTATATAAGATCTGATTAATTCAATTCAGTAGAGTGAATTTCATTTTAATTGAATCTTTTTGTTTTAGTTACAAGTTATCTCATTTGAAAATTGATTGGTCTGGAAAAAAAATTGTCAGTGTAATGAAATAAATTAATAAATTTATAATATCAGAAAGGGTTTTGTGGAGATTTTAGTAATTTCGATAGTTGAAATCATGAGTCAATGGAAGACAGACCACCATAGAAAACCTGGAAGCACTGGACGATCGTTTCGTCCTTGTATGGGACTTTTCAGCAGTGCCCATCTACGATCCCGACCCCCCTGAAATGTGATCACAGGATCTATCAGTCTCGCGCACGAGCGCTTAACCATTAGACCACTCAGCTAGCCGGCATCCCACGTTGTTAATGTCTAACTCCAACGAATCCACGAAATTTATAGTGTCCCAATAAGTAGAAAAATTATATTTCTTGACGTTTCGTAACTCAGTGTAGGCCACTTGTTCGGAGAATAAATAACCGATTTGTTTGAAATTAACAAGTCAAATCTTGGTAGTCATACCTATCAGTGTAATTGTTTGAAATGATAGAAATTTTAAGTTATCTCAGATAAATCACTAAGTGAACAAACAAAGTTTTGGTAATAAACAACCAAACAGCTAATACAAGTGAAGTAATTAAAATAACCCATAGTGTCATTGATCAAGAAAACG